TTGGGCGCTGAAGTCGCCATAGCCAATTGAGAGTGAACTCGTATCTGAAAGCCATATCTCTGAGTTTTGAGTGGCCGCATGTCGCCAGTATACTGCGTTGCTGTTTACATGCATGAAAAGTGTGTTTGAGAACGAGTCTGATTGCAATAAACACTACTGCAGATCTTTTTTTTCTATTTTTATATATCGTCAAATAGAACTGCCCAGTAAACCGTAGGCAGAGAGGGAGAAGAGGACAACAAACGAGGGGCTGTGACAAACTGTTTCGTCGGAGTTTCACCGATATATATTAAACACTACGGACCTGTTCAGGAAAAAGTTCCAAAAAAACACTAGAAAAATATTAAAAAGCCCTTCTGCGTGGCCCAAAAATTCGGCCAGCAAAACTAGGCATATTTCCCGTCCCTGCTGACTCAGTCCTTCAGGGTCAGGAAAATCAACAGGTTCAGCAGATCTGCTCCAGTGGCAGTCATGGTTTAAACTTTTTTTTAAAAAATCAAAATTTTGATACCCCCCCCGTTGGTGCAAGGAACCCGACTGTTCAATACTTGCTGGAGTGCTTCAGATCACATGCATTCACACAGATTTCCCAGATTGCGATGTCTCACACAAACCCCAATAGAAGATGAATGAGAACCAGGAGCTCAACTCAATTAATCAAGCGAGATTAGAGAAAGTACATCGTGAGTCCAAACGTACACAGCGCCAACCAGAGTTACAAGTCTTCTCCAATCAACATGAGTTCCCAGGCCTAGCGCTAATCAGCACCAGCTGCGCTAGGCTGAAGAACAGCGCTCAATAGGTAAGTGTCACCATAGCTCACACCCCTCTCTCGTCTGCTTTCTTCTCTCTCCTCCTCCTGGTCTACTCTTCACTCATCATGCATGCACACTCCCTATCACACGAGGATCTACTCTGAATGCTACTCACTGGTATCCCCTACTGACTATCCCTACTAACATACTAACGAGCGCTGGCGCAGCTATGGCTGCCTTCCCTCTCTAGCCAGCACTCTCTTCCTTCTCACATAGCGCTGCTCTTCAGCCTAGCGCAGCTCACACACATTCTAGCGCACAGGTGCCACGCACTTCCACACTCTCATGCGACGTGAGCCTCTGTCAAATGGGAGGCTGGCCAGTCCTTTGTAGTGCTGGACTGGTCTGGCGTGGCCTGCATTCAGCCTCAAGTGTGCCTGGGACTCCTGCCCAGTACCGATTGTTGCAAAGTGTTGTGTCCCAGTATCTTTTCCCATGGTCTGCTGCTGCTTTGGGCCATCGGGCCTGCCTTTTGGACTCCTCGTATGAATCCGGACTGACTCATGGGATTATGACTGAACTGGGACTGTGGCCTTTGACTCGTTGACGAACAGACATGCCTTTTCATCGAGGAGACATGACCCCAACTCAGTCTTGAAAACCGTGTCCAATACCTGTTCATTCAGGACCTGTTTGTGACTTTTCAAAGCGACTTTTCACTTCATTATGGATGCGACATCTGCCTCAGGAACTTTTGTCTTTTGGGTTGCTGCTCGTGAATTTCAGTTCTGGCCGACAGGGCCCCTCGCTGTTGGGCATACATCTGGGGTCTAATTCGAAAAGACCCTTTTAGTGGAAACAGATGCGAAAGAGGCGGTACAGAATTCCCAAGCAAAAAGAACACCATGCCATGCGGCAGCTCCAGACCCATTTACGAAGAGGGGTGGACACTACTGCAGCAGCCATCAGCCGACGGATTCCTTTTTCTTTTCGTAATCGTTTTTCTTTTCGTTGGCTAACAGACACAATTTTTCTCTGTTTGATAAACTTGTTTGTTTTTTTTCTGAACTTTTTCGCTCCTCCATCTTCATCCCTCCTCAGCCAAGTGTTTTGCGAAGCCATCCATCGATCCTTATCCCTGAGCAAAGGGAGCTTCAAAGCAATCCACTCCAGTCTTCATCAGCTGGCAAAGCACTTTGCAAAGCTCCCTGGACATGCGCAGTAAGTGCAAGCATCCTCGCACCTCATCATGCATATCGTCTTCAGCCGAATAGAACACGAGGTCGTTATTGTTGTATCTAGACTGTATGGTGCCCCAAATGCAGCTATATCAAGTTAACAACCGTGCACTCTATTCGTGGGAAGACGGGTAGTCAAGTCACAGTTGGAAAGAAAAATGAAATGCAAGATGGGCAGAAGATGAGAGTGGAGCCGGTGGAATAGGAACCAGACTGATGCTCCCCAGAATGGAAATGGAGCCAGGGCCATAAGGACCTGTTTT